TGAAGGAATCATGAACTAATAATGAAGGAATCATGAACTAATAATGACGGAATCATGAACTAATAATGAAGGAAGCATGAGCTAATAATGACGGAATCATGAACTAATAATGAAGGAATCATGAACTAATAATGAAGAAGTCATGAACTAATAATGACGGAATCATGAACTAATAATGACGGAATCATGAACTAATAATGAAGGAATCATGAACTAATAATGAAGGAATCATGAACTAATAATGAAGGAATCATGAACTAATAATGACGGAATCATGAACTAATAATGAAGGAATCATGAACTAATAATGAAGAAATCATGAACTATCCATCCATCCATCCATTATCTTTACCCGCTTATTCCATTTTGGGTCACGGGGGTCGCTGGTGCCCATGTCCAGCAATCACTGTGCGAGGGCCGGGGTACACCCTGGACGGGTCGCAAGTCCATCGAAATCATGAACTAATAATGAAAAAATCATGAACTAATAATGACGGAATCATGAACTAATAATGAAGGAATCATGAACTAATAATGAAGAAGTCATGAACTAATAATGAAGGAATCATGAACTAATAATGAAGAAGTCATGAACTAATAATGACGGAATCATAAACGCTTTTTGAACTAATAATGAAGGAATCATGAACTAATAATGATGAAATCTTGAACTAATAATGAAGGAATCATGAACTACTAATGAAGAAATCATGAACTACTTGTGAACTCACCTTATTAAGAAATATTTATTTAGGGCTAATTTAAATTTTAGCTCTTAATTTGAAGATCTAATTTTTTAGCTCTTACAAACCGGATTCCAAAGAAGTTGTGACACTAAACAAATTGTGAATAAAACCTGAATGCAATGATGTGGAGGTGCCAACATCTAATATTTTATTCAGAATAGAACACAAATCACAGATCAAAAGTTTAAACTGAGAGAATGTTTCATTTTAAGGGAAAAATCTGTAGTTTCCAAATTTCATGGCGTCAACAAATCCCAAAAAAGTTGGGACAAGTCCATTTTTACCACTGTGTGGCATCCCCCCTTCTTCTTCCAACACTCAACAGACGTCTGGGGACAGAGGAGACCAGTTTCCCCAGTTTAGAAATAGGAATGCTCTCCCATTCATGTCTAATACAGGCCTCTAACTGTTCAATCGTCTTGGGCCTTCTTTGTCCACCTTCCTCTTTATGATGTGCCAAATGTTCTCTATAGGTGAAAGATCTGGACTGCAGGCTGGCCATTTCAGTACCCGGATCCTTCTCCTACGTAGCCATGATGTTGTGATTGCTGCAGAATGTGGTCTGGCATTATCGTGTTGAAAAATGCAGGGTCTTCCCTGAAAGAGATGACGTCTAGATGGGAGCATATGTTGTTCTAGAACCTGAACATAGTTCTCTGCATTAATGGTGCCTTTCCAGACATGCAAGCTGCCCATGACACAAGCACTCATGCAACCCCATACCATCAGTGATGCAGGCTTCTGAACGGAGCGTTGATATCAACTTGGGCTATCCTTGTCCTCTCTGGTCCGGATGACATGGCGTCCCAGTGTTCCATAAAGAACTTAAAACCGTGACTCATCTGACCACAGAACAGTCTTCCATTTTGCCACACTCCATTTTAAATGACCCCTGGCCCAGTGCAAACGTCTGAGCTTGTGGAGCTTGCTTAGAAATGGCTTCCTCTTTGCACTGTAGAGTTTCAGCTGGCAACGGCGGATGGCACGGTGGATTGTGTTCACTGACAATGCTTTCTGGAAGTATTCCTGAGCCCATTCTGTTATTTCCTTGACAGTGGCATTCCTGTTTGAGGTGCAGTGACGTTTAAGGGCCCGGAGATCACGAGCATCCAGTAGAGTTTTACGGCCTTGACCCTTACGCACAGCGATTGTTCCAGATTCTCTGAATCTTTTGATGATGTTATGCACGGTTGATGATGATAACTTAAAAGTCTTTGCTATTTTA